AGCAACGTGGCAATCAGGCGCACCCATTTTCCTACACGTGCAAGAATCGCTAATAACTACGATTGCTCCGATATTCTGCCAGTACTGAAAATATATAGTTCAGGTCACGTATATTATAGATTTTCAGTACTTGCTGTGAATATCGGAACGCAGCCTACATAACATAAGATCGTTTAGACTCTAGACCAATGAGCATGTTACGTAAATTAATTGTGACGACTTTTTATGCTGGAAGTTCATTAGTCCAGACGGTCTTACGCTTATATATGGAGTTATATCATATTCTCTGCATTTTGTGTGCAATTGCTCTAAGACCGATTTTTTTTAGTTGATTTTACATCATTTAACTTTGCTTTTTTTGTCAAAGAACATATTTACACGTGGCTTTTTTCCTAGTCGGAAAAGAAAAAGAAATTAAATAGGGCGTATTGTTACGAAATTCCTCGACGATAAATTCTCAACGATCATAATCAAGTGATTCTTCTTAAATATAATTTTATTACAATAAGTTTAGGATAATTGAGTATTTTTTCATTATGGCAAATAAGATTATGGTAAGAAAATTTTAATTCATTTAATAAAAATACCTCAATATTATTGTTTGAAGGAAATTTTTTTGATTTTCGATTCATACGCCACATTTTTATTCAATAACCCACGTTGTATTCAATCATGTAAATTTTAAATGTTTAATTTCGAAATAAACGTACTCAGTGTTGATATCTATATACTTATTGTTAATCTTATTGTTGAGATATGATTAGTTTATAATTATTACAATGTATTTTTAAAAACAATATTTTTAAAAGACTGCGTTTCACTTTTTTTTTAAATCTAAATTTGATTTATATTATTAAATAAAATACTATTATTCTAAAAAATTTTTTGCTTTCTATTTATCATACAAATATGCTTAAAAACTCTTTTAAGATTTATTGATTATAGAGATTGTATTTAAACAATTACAAAATTAATTATATATTTAGTTAATAAGAATTCTATATTTGACATATTTTACAGATATCAATAGCACATATATATAAACTATATTCTTTTTTATACTTTTTATACAAATATATGATATAAATGAGCAATATTACTAATTATTTTAAATTATTATAAATGTATTTTATATTATAGGTAGGAATAATCTGTGGCTCAGGTCTTGGTGAAACTTTATATAAAACATTCAATTGTACAAATATTACCAAATGTGAGAACATGAAAACTGATTTTGGATATCCCTCCAGTGATCTTTATCATGGAATTATTAATGGAGTGACAGTAGTTCTATTGGCTAGGTAGGAATCTTTATAAATATTTTTAGATTCTTGATTTGTGTTTCTATTTCTAAAACATGCAATTTGAACTTATATTATACACGTGTTGTATTGATTCTTCTATAATCAAATTTTGTAAAGGTATGATGATCATATTTTCTTTGAGAAAATAAAGGACAAATTTGAAAATTTTAGAGCTTTGTTCCTATGTTTCCAAATTTTTGACAAAATCTGCATATTACGAAATTTTCTTGTTTGATACAAATGAGATACTGTGTAGTTTATTGATAATTTTAACCTGGTTTGACTGTATTAGAACAAATTTCATTTAAATTTGGAATAGATTCGAAATAAAAACGTATCTAAATAATTTTAATTAAAAAAGTTAAAAATATAATTAATATAAGACAAATTATATTTATATTTTATATTTCATTTTAAAAATTTATTCATTAATATGATATTAAACATTGAAATTAATTAAAAAAGATTTTTCTGTAAAATAAGGAAAATTAAATTTTAAGAAAATCTAAAAGACAGCTATTTGAAACGAAGGCTTTCCTTTAAAATAATGATCACTATATATAAAGAACTTTTTACTTATTTCGTTTATTTAATATTTGTTTTAATTTTTTTGTTAGTCAAAAAAATATTTTTCTTTGTTGACTTAATAGACATGGCGCAGGACATATATTTAATCCTACTAGAGTTAATTACCGTGCTAACATAGAAGCATTACGGTTTGCTGGATGTACCCATATATTGGCATCTACCGCTTGTGGATCATTGACAGAGTCTATCTATAGAGGACAACTGGTTATACCTGATAACTTTATAGATAGAACCAATTCCAGGAAGAGTACATTTTATGATGGAACATCTGACAAGTACAGTGGTATGTATATTAGATATATTTTTTTGTGTGTAATTCTTAAGATGTCTTATGAATTGCAGGGGTATGTCATATACCAATGGAGCCTGCGTTTGATCCACGAACATCAGAAGTCCTGTTACAAGCAGCAAAGAAATTAGGTTATGATATAAAAAAGGGTGCAACAGTAATAACAATTGAAGGACCACGTTTTTCATCCAAAGCTGAAAGTAATGCTATGCGTCTTTGGGGTGGACATTTGGTTAACATGACTATATGCCCAGAGGTCTAAATGTTGTGATAAATTTATGTATTTATGTATTAAAAAATGTTTTAATATCACTATATAATGTTTATATCTTGTCATTAATCAGGTATATCTAGCAAAAGAAGCAGGTCTTCTGTACGCCGCTATAGCAATGTCGACTGATTATGATTGTTGGAGAGAATGTGAAGACAATGTTAATGCAACCGATGTCTTGATTGTATTCAGACAAAACGTTGATAAAATAACGAATGTATTAGTGGAAGCAGTAAAGATTATTGGCAGTGGAGAGATAGAATGGGAACAGGATATTTTTAAGTTGAAGGTATTAATATTGGATGTAATTTGCCATATTTATATTATTTTTAAATCCACTTAAATCGAACATTTTGAATATTTCATTTATTTTTGATACAAAAAAATGTTTTAGATGAAAATGGAATGGTGTCGAGGAACGTATATTAGTCATGTTAGTTTTTTCTACATGGAGGTGCCAAAAAGATATGAAGGTCATCTCCACTTTTTTAAATAGAATTATGTGATTTTTTTTATATAATATGATTCCTCTAATTATTCTGCATATAAAAGTATTAAGATAGAATTATCGAAAAATCAATAGTTTCACTTTCCGTTTCCGAAACCGTTCCACTTTCATCTGAAATATTTTTTCATATCAAATTTCATATTAAAAATAAATGAAATATTTAAGGTACTCGATTTAAGTTCATTTAAGACCATCGTGTGTGCGTGCGTGCGTGTGCGTGTGTGTGCGTGTGATGTGTGATAATACAATGATAAAAAGAAAATCGTTTTCAGAATCTAATTGCAAGTAGCAATGTGACCTTAAAGAAATGAAGTTTCTACTTGTAAAGTGGAATAAACAAATGCCTATATAACAAAAATATCAATATATATATAATTTCAACGAAAAGCTACATATAGTTTCTACACATTCCATATGTATGCAAATTTATAAAGTTTTTATAAAGTTATATGAAGTTCAATTCATGGTAACTTTTATAACTGCAACTGAATTTATATTAAATTTATATTACATAAAATTATATATCGTACATGTTTTGTAAATCCAAATACCCATTATATTTTATAATCAAAGAATAAGATATAGTAGATGGCATTACTCAACAGATAAAATCTTAATTGCCTAATAATTTTCTTTTTGAGTTTATATATATATATATATATTTATATGTATAAAGATAACTCCTTACATATCCAACTATATGCTGTTATATCTTTAACAGACCAATGCCATCTATTATATTCTGTTCTTTGAATATATTCTCGATTTATTACATTGATTTGTTTTATATTTTATTTAGGTGTATATGTGTGTGCTATGTGTGATATGTATATACATATACATGTATACACACGTTATTATTTTTATATATATATATATATATATATATATGTTATTTATTTATATACGTTATTATTATAATTACAAGATAAATAATACAAGCATCATGAAGTGTATAAAGTCATAGCTTTGCTTAATTTAATTACATGCATAATTATATGCAGAAAGTTAAAGATTGATAAAAAGAATTAGATTGGTCATATTTCAGGATCTAATGAGCATATAAATAAAAGATGCTGACAATTAAACTTAATATTTATTATCTACAAAATTACATTTATCTATACAGTTCATAAAAGTCAATTGACTATATGATTTCTTTAAATGTATCTACATAATTGAACTGCCAATATATGTATATATATATCCTCTTTTTATTACATGCCAGGATTTGCTTCTTTGAATAGGAGCGGACACATTAATCAGTATTGTCATTGATATCTGTCCAATTAAAACATTGTACATTGGTCTGTATTTTATAATGATCTTATAACTCAAAATATAATATATGAAGTTTATATGAATTTTATGTACAAGCAATTTACATTACACTCAATACGAAAAATTAGGCTTGTTTCAGTAACACAAACTTTTTCCAGAAAATATTTTTTTACAATATACATTTATGCATATACTTGACGCGAGTTGACAATATATGTGATTCATAATATATAATATGTATTCACAAGACTTATTTTGTGCAATACCAATTAAAAAATAAGTAAATTTATAAATAAAATAATTGATAAAAATAATCTGTATTACCAAATGACTACAATCAATAACGACTATTTTTTTATTTTATAAGATTCTTTTTTCCAGAACATAAATTTTATGCAATAAAGATTCATTTTTATTTATATTTTTTCAATAATTTGCTATTATATCATAAAATATATCTTTAATTTGTTAAAATATTTGGATGTTAAATAATAATTGTACATGATTATATATATTTAAATTGAATAATTCAATATATTAAAATTTTGACTTTCATGATTATATAATAATCTGTTTTTTTACACAGATAATACATAATTTGCACACGCATACACATACATACATATATATATGTGTGTGTGTGTGTGTGTGTGTGTGTGTGTGTAAAACCTAGTTTTATATAATCCTTAAGTTTGAAACGATAAAATTTTAGAAGAATACATGACATAAAACTCGCTTCAATATTTAACAATAAAATATTCATTTTTTTTCTAACTTACAGTTAACAATTTGCTTTGCTAAATATTCACGTGACACACTTAGTGTGAATATTTCTTACAAGATGTAACAAGGTGTATATATCTTTGTTTGTTCTGCATAAGTCTTAATCTTTTATATTAATGAAAAAGATTAGCACTCTTTAACTCTGTACATAACATATTAATGAATAGAATTAATTGCATTATAGCAATTCCTATTTAGAAGTGGTATATATTTTTATATTGCGTTAATGTATAAAATAGGTTGCGCGCACTTTTCAAGTATATCAAGTAAATTAGTTTTAATGGAAACCAAATAATTGCAACGAATATTTGATTCTATAACTATATGTCCGAAAACATAATAGTAATTGCCTGAGAAATTTATCTCTTATTATCTTATCATATATAACTCACTTGCTTTATATGCTTATATTTGGAGAAAATATATATAAGGGAATGCACAAACTATTATGCAGTTTTGAGTAACAATTATAAATTATTCCAATTTCATTGATTTACAAAAGTAACGACTTCTGAAAAAGGTCAGGACAATTTTCTTCAAATTAAACCATAATTCATAATTATAAGCATAACAACTAAGGAAAGGTCAAAAGAAGTTTTTGGGAATGCAATATTTCTTTTATATATTAATACAAGTAAGGGAATTCGTACGCACTTGCTACTAGATTCTTGATATAATAAAATTGTCATCCCAACGAATAAAAGAAAATATGACATCCAGGACAGGCTTAATAATTACACCTTATTATCAACCATATCCACATTGATTTTATAATACACATATGGGAAGTAATCACTTTGGCCAAAACCTAGTCCTGGTATATCCACATTCTATTGAAATTGAAATGTCATTGTATTAGATATAAATCTATTTCATAAAAGAAGTTACATTATGTATACATTATCATAGACATCAAAATTTGATTTCAGAACAAGCATATTTATTTGTAATAATAATAATAGAAATTTAAAATAATAATTAAAATTAAAAAATTTCAAAACTATGGTTAAATATTAGTCTAATTTCAATAATATAATGATATATTTTATATGTTTTTACTCACATCCTGATTATGTACTGTTGAAGCAGTAGCAGATGAATCTAAATGAGCATAAAGCTGATTTAGAGCGTCACGTAATCTCCTTGCACATTTTTTATGCGGATGCAACAATATTGCTTGGAAATTGACAGGTAAGCCATATCTACAAATTATTTATGTTATATTCTATTGTATTTTAATAAGAATGTAATAATAGGATGTAATATGCAATACCTGAGAACAGATTCAACAAATACACGTAATGCTTTAACATGAATCCAAGCACAAAAACATTCACTAAAATTCACTTTTAACCAGCGGACAAGTGGTCCAAATTGTTTCTTTTTATCAGTTACCAACTTTGTAATTTCATTTTTTCCTGTAACAGAATGTAATTAGAATAAAATTTCTTCTTTATCATATATTTCTAATCTCTAAATATCTAATGTATCTGTATATATCTGTATATATCTAATGTATTGTACATTTATTTTTAAATTATAATATTTAAATTATTACAAATTATTTGTAAATTATTTAATTGTATATTATTTTATACAAATTATAAAAAATTTCAATATTATGACAAACCTGCTGCTAATTCTTCTTCATTGTATGTAAAATCTCGTACGATAAACTTCTTTTCACGAGCATGCAACTTAAATTCATCCATCACTTTTTTAAATAAAGTGACCGTAAATAATCCATATTCGGAATCCTGAGTAATGAGTTGTGTACTACGCGGCACAATCATATCTGTAAGTTTTTCATAACAACTGTACCATTCCTGAAAACTGGCTCTGAAAGCATAAGATATATAAGTATCATTATCTCGTATAATGATTCACGATTTAATTGTTATATGATTACTGTCCATTTCTATCAATGTTAATTTTGATTTAATTAGGCTACAGTTATATTTGCTCACCTCGGTACGATTACAAGCAAGGTAGTTAAATATTCACTGTCCAGAATAAAGTGTTCTTTTTTCACTAAATCTGCTAAATTTCGTGTTAAGAGACTTCCTCTGTTGAGAATATTACAGATTAAAAAAAAAAAAATAGTACACATAGTGATATTTACATCAATTATCAATTGTGTTCAATTCAAAACTCAAACTTACGTCTGCTTTTTTTCTAAATTTTGTAAGCTGCCTTTCAAGTTGTTATATATTGTAGATTTAGTTTTCAAATCGGCATCAATCTGTCCTACTTGTTTACTGATAATATCCGCGATATTTCTCAAAGACTGTTTGATGGGGTATTTAGCCATGTCCCACTGGAATCGAGTTATATACGAGGGCAGATCACCTAGTAAATTTTAAGTATTAATCCATTGTTCTCAGACAACAATCTTGATATGCAATTGTATAGGCAAAGCTTCAGAATATATTTATATATTCTTTAGTACATAATCGATAACGAGTGTGAAATCTCTACAGATATGGTAAAATTTTCAACAATTTAATATTGATACATTTCTTAAGCTCTGCGTATATTATTGACATATATAAATGCTTAACACATATGTTTATTATAATAAATTCAAATTTTTCTATTTAAAATAATATCATTAAAAGAATAATATATTCAAAATGGTGAGATACTGAAAAAAATGATCCATACAAGCAATCCCTTGATCTTACAATGCTGCTTCTTTATCATTAGCATTACAAGAAAGAAGCAGGACATACACAGTATATCATGCAATCAATAATAACTAAATCTAAACAAATGTATTTATATACAAGAAATTGTCCATTTATTATAAAAAATATAATAACACTCAAGTTATCTGGTATTATTCCCAACAAAATTTTGTGCATAATATTTAATATAGAAATATAATAAAAAATAATAACTTT